GGGCCTATGTAAGGCATACAATGCAATAATGTTGACTGAATACACTGGCAGGTAATCTTGGCCTAAGTAAGTCATGCAATTCTGTTGACAGAACAAGGTAACCACAGGTAAGCCATGCCAGGTAGCATAGGTAACCCGGGTCTAAGTAAGGCATGCAATACAATAATGTTGACTGAATACAGGTAATCCTGGCCTAAGTAAGTCATGTAATTCTGTTGACAGAACAAGATAACCACAAGTAAGCCATGCCAGGTAGCATAGGTAATCCTGGCCTAAGTAAGTCATGCAATGCAATAATGTTGACTGAATATAGGTAATCCTGGCCTAAGTAAGTCATGCAATTCTGTTGACAGAACAAGATAACCACAAGTAAGCCATGCCAGGTAGCATAGGTAATCCTGGCCTAAGTAAGTCATGCAATGCAATAATGTTGACTGAATACAGGTAATCCTGGCCTAAGTAAGTCATGTAAATCAGTTGACAGAACAAGGTAGCCAAAAGTAACCCATGCAATTGACCGAATTTAGGCAACTCCGGCAAATACAAATAACCCCGAACTACATAAGCTACAGTCACTACAATTATTAGTACTCACCTATTTCCTCCACCTCCTCTTCCTCTTCGCCTTCTTCTAAAGTAGGTAATGCGAACTCGGCCCCACGGCTCTTACGCCCCGTGCTCTTCCGCCCTGTGCTCTCAGTTTCTTTTTCACCACCTTGATTTTTTTCACCATCTGAGAATTCATCGACTATGTCCTCTTCACTACTACTGCTACTGCTATCGTCCGACAACTGGAACTCGTCGTCCTCCTCAATAAGTTCAAGAGGTCCTCGTATTTCAGTCGACCTAAACATAGACATCAAATGGCTAAATTTCTGTTTGTCCAGAAACTGTTGCCTCGCCTTCTTCCCGGCATCCCCCATGTCATCAACGATGTCCATAACCGCCTGTTCGAAATCTGATTGTACAGGTGGTTGTATCGACAAATCAAAGTTGCAGTCTCGTTTGTGCCACGTGACTTTACAGTGAATGACGTATCTCGGCAACCAGTACGTCCGCAGAGTCTTCAAAACGAAATTCTGCATCGCGACGAACACGTTGTTTGCAAAGATAGATACGTTGTGATCACCGTATATGGATCCTGAGCGCAGTCTTCCGCTGAATTCCACTCCGCTGCCGACGATGCTGCCACGCTTTCCTCGACACTTGAAATCCGGTGACGGAAATCGAGAGGACCCACCGTCAAAGCTCATGGAGCGGGTTGTATCTGAATTATCTGTGTGTGTATAAATATATATATTCAACGTCATTCAATTATTTTAAGTGAAAATTTATCAAAATAAGTACAAATTAGGTTCATAATTCAAGAAATCGTTTGGACATTAAAAACTGTTTCCTTGTACATTGAAGTATCGCAGGAGTTTAGCACAACTGCGCATTTGAACAAAATAGGTTCTTAAATAAACTGCCGTCAACAAGTTATTATGACTGATTGTTTTCTTACGTAGTACTTTACAAACAACAGCAACAACTACTACTACTGACCTGAAAAAGCAACCCATTTAGCATTTTCAGGCAACTCGAGCGCCGCACCATTTTTGAAGTACTTCGACTGAATTTGGCGAAAGAGCTCACGATGCTTTTCGGTGTCTGATATCGGTAATCTTCTGAACTGTTCGGCATCTAGCCAGAACTTGAAACTATTGGCTCCTGCCGTAGTTGACAGAAAATTACGAAACTTTCTCATTCCAGAAACCTTACCAATGCATTTTAACATAAGATGTTCATCACGTTTGGATTTCACGGCACCTGGAGGAAATATACCGGTACATATAAAGAATGGAAACAAACTTTGTTTCTTTGAACTCTGAGTCGTTGTTCAGAAGTATTACCATGGCAGCATTTGTGACTGAACATGCACAGTTCTGAGCTGATTTGCAAATTACTTGTTAAATATACATATATTCTTTTTTAAACGTAACTTTGTCGACTGCTTGTTGAAATGTATGTATTTTAAGGGAATATAGGCAATTATAACTTTTCTGTTCACATTTTGAGAACTGACACTACGCAATCCTTAATACAAGAACATATTGTTTTAACATCTCCTTGCGTTACTATTATTTTTATAATGTGCAGATTTAGTCCAGGTGTAAATCCCAAATACTTTAAATGAACGCAGTAACTTTTATAGCGTAAATCTAATACTAGTATTCCTTCCATTATTCCCAATCCGATGAATGCAAATATTGACACATTAAAAAACAAAATATTGTGACGTCATGGATATTTGTATAAAAATACACAACTTACTGTAACAAATGTCATGCGAACTTGCCGACAAACGAAGTACTGTTTTCTGTAAATACTTGCATAACAAAAACTCATTGAATAGATCAGTTTTGAAAAACAGTGGCGCCCTCTGTGTCCGTACCCAAGCCATTAACCAGACTTTGTCCAAATCCTGAACGTAACAAAAAAAAATATGAATAAAAAAATAATCACTTTGATGAAAACTAAATAGTATCTAGTCCTAAAGTCATTTCTAATGATATTACAACTTCAATTGTTTTCACTGTTTTCAATTGCATTGTTTTTATCGGTTATATTTTACAAACACTCATGGCCACCAGTGAGCAGAGTAATTACGGAAACGCTCAGAAATGACGAAAAAACTTACATATTGACTTCTCTTCAGTGGTGGATCTAGTTCAAATGACTGCAACGAGTAACGGTAGATGAGTCTCTGTGCAAATACCTACAAAAAACGTTAACCTTGTTAACTGTGGTGTACCAGACGTAGCGCCCTCCCAGGTGGGCGGACTGTACGAAATAGGCACAAGGTATAACACATTTATCTTTCATCTTACCATATTTATTCAAAAAAAGGTGATATGGAGGAGAAGATGTCATTTTAAATATTGTTCTTTGATACTGTATGTTGATGACTAGATTACACTATGACTATCATGATCTGCAAATCACTGTTATTGCAGCACATGGTGATTTTTCGTTCGATGAACTTGACACAATGACATTCTCTAATACTCAAGAAATTGGTATGTATAATAACAACCGATGCGCATGCGTATTAGTGTTTTTGATTTTTCATCTAACGAATAATGTTATGTGTCCTGCAAATGCAGTATTTTTAATTTATGGTAAAACACAGCCCGATTTGGTCTACAACATGGAGTCTCAAACATAATATTAAAAAAAATATATATTTTCGTCCATATTGCATCTTTAAAATGTTTCACCATGTTGCAAAATCACTAGCAGTCGCTTACATAGTAGTAAAAGTAGACCAGAATAATAAGAAGTTGTTAGCAACATTGACGCAAATACACCCCACTATCGCATTGCTGATTTGCACACTGCTTAGTTTGTGAAAGTTTTTCTCTTCTCGAAAAAAAAAATAATGGAGTAATGTTCAGTTTCGGATCTTACCGGAAGCGACAGAAACACGTTGAAATAGTCGACAAATGTGCGATCACAAAGATATTTGACGAATTCTCCTTCCGTCGGAATGGTACCTAAAAAACATAGATGAAAATATCGATCAGAGACAAAGATCGACCGGTATGGGCGTCCGCTGAGTACGATGACTGCGATAATGGCCGGCCGAAATCATAACATCGATGCGTGACGGCAACTGAGTTGAGCACTTACCTTGCGGTACAAAATGCTGTATATCTGGCTCCATTTTACCAACTGTGACGACAACCGTGATGATTTCCCCTTAACCAAACGCAGTCACATCTTCGCACTGCACTGTACTAAATCGTGTCGGTCATCTGATGTATTCTATTCATTGTTTCTATTGAAGCGATTGTCCGCGTCCGATTCCCTCTTCTGCGTTCCATCGTTGCCGTTGGCAACTGTTCAGCAGAATTTACTTGAGCGAAAGGCGGAGAACACATTCACGCATGTAAGTTATTAACATAGTAATCAAATTGCAATTTATTTTATTAAACTCAAAATGAAACTTTTTTGGGAGATGAAACAAACGCCAGTGCATGAGATGGCAGAAAGTTTATGCTAACGTCCTCTACCGACCAGAACTCAGAAATGAAATTGCGTCCTCATACAGACCTCGCCGTTCAGCCGGCGAGGGCGCTACTATACCCACATGTCACATGTCAGGCTTGAATAAGTAGATTCGGTGTTATTTGCTTAGAATAAGTAGAGACGGAAGTAAAAACGAATGTCCCAAAAAGAATGAGAATACAGTTGAATACTCGTGCACGTATAGTCTCTTGATTCAGCAGAAATAGCTATATTTTGTTGTTCTTTTCTGAAACCACGGGCGAATTTAGAAGGGCCGATCGGGCCATACCCCTTATGACGAATCACCCATATAGAGGGGAGGCAAGGGGGGTAACTGGTACAATTTTACGGGAAATAAAAATGGCTTTTTACAATTTACAAGGAAAAGAAATACGTTTTTACAGTTTACAGTGTTAAAAAATGGAATATTGAATGATCTGAAGAGCTCTCCGACTCAAATTCTCCGCCATTGCTACGCCGTGTGTAGAGACGCATGCGCATACTACCCTCGTAATGCTCTTCATTCGGTTAGAGGGCCTTTTACGTCTTGACATTCAATTTTGTAACGAATTGTGTCATGTAGTCGTTTTACAGATTTAAAAATGTAATTTCCCTGGATTATTCTTTACGATTATTTTATTTGGATGTAAATTCTTGTACGTACCGAGAAAAATTACACATTTTTACAGTGTACGAAAAAAATATTTGATTGATTACGCTGTACGTCTAGCCTGTGATTACAGAATTACGGAATTTATTTTTTCAATTTACGTTGTACGAACAAAAAATATTTCATTTACGTTGAACGAAAATAACCCTTGCCCCCCCCCCCCCCCCCATATGACGAATCACCATATACCAATGGAGCTATTGGCAATGAAATCCATGCACTTTTATACTGTAACCATACTGGAATAACAAATGCTCGTACTCAATTTCTGAATGTAGTTAGCATTTATAATGAAAGTATCCTTAAACTATCAAAACAACAAATGTTTACAGAAATTTTAAGTTCGAGAGATGGGTTCATTGCCAATAGTACTAGCAAATTTATTGACAGCATTT